CAGGACGCCCAATGTATTTTCTTGTTTTGGCTAGAGTCACCCCATATGAAGCTAGTAAATAATCTGGAGATTTTGTTGATCGCACATTGTGGCGGGTCAAGTATTTGAAGTAAGTGGATTGGCATGGAACTCAATACATGATTAATGAGTGAAATCCTACCTCCTGCAGATAACCATCTATGCTCCCAACCCAAAATTCTGCGTTTAATTTTGCTGATTAGCTCTTCAAATAAAACTGCCCTCTTATGCCCTTTGTATAGTGGAACACCAAGGTAGATCATTGGCAATGGTAGATATTGAAATCCAGTATTCTCAGCTATCACGTTTCTGTGGATTTCCCTTCTAGTATAGAACGAGCTTTTATTGCAGTTTATAGCCTGCCCAGAACTTTCAGTGTAATGACTGATAAACTTCATGATTTTATTCAATGAAGAGCCAATTTGGCCTTGTATTAAAGCGATGTTTGATCAACTCAGAACGAGATTTAATTGTTTCAGGATGGCAAGTATGAAGTCGCTTTTAAATCGCAACACCAGATTTTCTTTGTGACGATTAAAATACGAGCAGTTCTTGTCCAACTAGATTTGGATGATCCTTTATTGGAGCTGAATAAGATGCCATCAACTTTAACACTGAATGAAAAGCAATGTGAGGATCGAGTTATATGTTTTAGAAGGTTCGATAATTACGTTTGATGCAATTGCTACTAAATTGAAGATTAGACCTCAAGAGAGGTTCAGTGAGGATGATTTGATTGCTTGTTGTTTGATAAGCATTGACTTAGATGGAGCTAGTTGTGATTGAGTTGTTCGTGATTCGAGCGAATTTGATAATGAAGAACTTGTCAATGGCTCAGGTGGAGTTAGTTTTGATGTTGTTGTTTGAGATGCAAACAAATTTGATATTCAAGTTAATCCTAGAAATTAGCAATGCTTTGATTCTTACTTGTATGGAGTTAGTTGTGAACTTGTTGTTCGTGATTCGAGCACTGTCCAAAATAATTTTGCTGATAAGTAGTGCTTTGATTTAGTTCACGGTTGCTGAAAATTTGCCCTAGTTGGGCTTTCTGGAAAAGGTGGAGTGTTTTATTGAAAAATTAAGTTTTACTTCTTGTAATGGAATTCGTGTCAAAGTGGAGGTTTGTTAGAATTTCGGCGAGACCCAAAATTTTGTTAAGTATTTGATTGAAAATGCTATTGGAGGACTATTGAGAGTTAGTTATAGACTTGAAGATGTCTTGAACGAATCCAAGAATGTGTCCCAAACACACTCTATGATCCTTCCTTTTTTAGTAGCTTTTGACTCCTATTTCATTTCATTATTAGTTTTATTTATTAAAATAAGACTTCACATTGTAATCTGAGAACAAACATAACTAAGACCTGGTATGTTAGGAATTTTTGTATTATCAATATGTGGTGTATTACACATATTTATTTGATCAGCTCAGAGCATGATCCAAGGAATCTAGAGAGACTCGCATGATAGAGATCCAAATTCTCATAACATACTTGTAACTCCTTACTATTTATTGTAGCGAATTCATCGTTTCTGCACGTGATTTTTTCCAGATTTGGATTTCCAAGTTAAATCTTGTATTCTTGTGTGATCATTTTCATATTGTTAATACTTTCATGGCTTTAATATTCATAACAAGTGATATAAGTTATATCATCGGGTTATTGCAAATTGACTTGTTTTCTAACAATTCGTTTCACAGATCATACGCCCTTAAAATCTCTATTTTTTTATATACCCAAATATTAGAAGTTCTGAAGATCATACACCCCTAAAATCTCTTCATGTGGATTTGGAAAGGGGCGGCGATCGACAGGTTTTAAGGGAATGTTGTGTACAAAAACAGTAATAAAGAGTAATGAGCATGATTGAACACTATAATACACCGATTTAAGTTTTTCTTTAATAAAGTTAAACAATGTGCAGTTTACCTATTAAACAAGCAATAGGAACATTAGGAAGAATCTGGTCTGGATCATGGATTTTCGAAGGGGAGAGGTCAACAAAGGGAGAAGGTCTTTAAATGCATATACTCATTAACGAATAGAACTTAGCCCTACGACGAAAACAATCTGGATTTTTTTTATATTTTTTAGTACTACACAGTTACCAAATCAAAAAACTCGTATAAGCGTGTAAGAAGTGTGGGTTGTGCGTGTTTTTCGCTGTGGACTTGGCCGGCGTAGATAATGAACAAGTTGATGGGGTTTCATAATAGGGTGGGGCATATTTTGAGCAAGTTCATCCCCCCCTGATCCTTGCTGCTACAGCTGAGTCTTCCAGTATGATGGGGCAGAGATGGACCATTTTTAACTAGGG